TTTTGTTCTTTTTCTAAACTGAACTGCAGATAAACCAAAGGCCAAACTGAGAGCTGATAACACAGCTGTTCCAGTAGGGGGCAGTGTGACCCTGACCTGCTCTGTGAACCCATCATCATCATCTGGATGGAAATACTACTGGTACAGAGATGAGAAATCCTCTGAAGCCCTGACCACACAAGATGCAGTTTTCCACTCAAATGGACAAATCAGTGTCTCACAGGAAGGACTCTACAGGTGCAGAGGAGGAAGAGGAAACCCAGTTTACTACACAGAGGACAGCCAGTCAGTCAGGATTGGGAAAACTGGTCAGTTTAACATGAAGTCCGATAAATTCCTGATTAAGGAGGAAGATGAAGAACAAAAGGCATTAACATTTTTGACATTCATGTGTTTTTATTGTACTTTCTTGAACAGTAACAGCCTCAATCAGACCTGTTGTGACTCTGTATCCAAACTGGTCTGAGATATACAGAGGAGAGACGATCACTGTTAGATGTGAGATCCATGGAGGAGACACTGAGTGGGATTATGAGTGGGAAACAAACAGCAGGATAAAAGCTCCAAATCAAAATGAATACAGGATTAGATCTGCTTCATCATCCAACAGTGGAAACTATCGCTGTAAGGGCAGAATGAAAAGTTCACAGCATGAAACAACAGAGTGGAGTGATTCAGTCACACTGACAGTTTCTGACAGTAAGTAGAGTCATAGTTCATTTAACCTGGAAATAGAAACAGTTTGTAAAAATGTGTTTTTATTAGTACATGTTGAGATATTTGACATGTTTAGATAGTCTCACTCTTAAAGTTCATCATAAATATTTGTGAGTCAACATTTTAGTGACATTGAATTCAGAGTTAAGAGACGAAACATTGAGAGCAAATCTTTGTTGAACAGATGAACCCCGTCCTGTCCTCAATGTGTCTCCATCATGGCTGAGTCCTGGAGCCTCAGTAACTCTGAACTGTGAGGCTGAACATCCATCTGCAGGATGGAGCTTCTACTGGTATAAAGCTGTTCCTGATCTAACAGAGAAATCCTCCAGTTATGAGCTGCTACCTGATGGCAGTGGGACTGCACAGGACTCCTACATCATTCATGGACAGACACACACAGCAGGATATGTGTGCAGTGCTGGAAGAGGAGACCCAGAGTATCACACTGATCACAGTCAACCAAAGTTTGTCTGGTCTGCAGGTCAGATTGGTTCTCTCTAATAAGTTGTGTCATCACTCTAATCGACCAAGGTTCAGCTCATCATTTTTTTTCTAATACTAATTTGATATTTTGAATGCTAACATCTGTGAGCTTTGTTGTTTCCAGATGTTCATTCAGCAGCGTCTCTCACAGTGAGTCCTGACAGAGTGCAACACTTCACCTCTGACTCTGTCTCACTGACCTGTGAGGGAAACTTCACTGAGTGGAGAGTGAGGAAGTTCTCTGAGGACGGTCGACTCTCTGACTGTAGGAGAATGACTGGATCCACATGTGACATCAACACATCAGAGTCAGATACTGCAGTGTACTGGTGTGAGTCTGGATCAGGAGAGTTCAGCAGTGCAGTCAACATCACTGTACAGAGTATGTTATTATACATTCTTCATGTTCTTTTGGTCGATTTGAATGATTTAGACGTGACATGAACATTTGTCCCAGCTTTGCTGTATGTGAAGTCATTTCATATGGGAATAAAAAACACATACACACAGTTTTTAAATTCACAAGATCAGATCTTCATGATGAGCATCTGTACAATCTGTTCTTATTATTGTTTGTCAGCTTTTTCTAAGAATGTGCATCAGCTGATGTGACTGAAACAATTGTGTGTGATTGTGTCACAGATGATGGTAATGGTCCTATCCTGGTGAGTCCTGTTCATCCTGTGACTGAGGGAGCTTCTGTTAGTCTGAGCTGTAGTTTGAGAACACAACAAATACTTTCCAATGTGTTTTTCTATCACAATGACAAACTTATTGAAAATGATCCCCGAGGGGAGCTGAAGATCTCTGCAGTGTCAAAGTCTGATGAAGGTTTCTACAAGTGTCAGTACTCAGGAAGAGAGTCAGCACAGAGCTGGATGTCAGTTAAAGGTGAGCAGGATCAAAACAATTTATACGTTTTTGTAAATGAGTTTAGTGACTGAGAAGGAACATTAGATTAGAACATCTGATTTTTTTTTTTTTTTTTTTTTTTTTGCCTGTCCCGTTTGGCTCTTTTGCCATCAGAATTATTGTCTAAAGGCAAAGTAAGATTCCCAACGGATTTACTTTACCAAATTGACCATCCCAGCCTTGCCGTAATGGTCCATTTGATTCACCTCTTATTGTTTTTGTTTTTTTTGTTTGTTTGTTTATTTTATTTTCACTTACTGAATACGGGACAGACTTGACTGGGGGAAAGAAAGAGGGAAAGAAAAACAGCTGAGAAGAGGGACGGGGAGAAGGGCAAAGACAAAAACCAACAGAACGGGCAGAGAAAAAAAAGAAAAAAAAATGCATATATCAATCACCTGGATCACCTGCTGAAAAAAAAAAGAAAACAAGCAGAAGAGAACAAGAGTAATAGAATAAACAACATCACAATGATATATGGGAATATGACAGTAAATACTAAATATTAAACATTATTGTGCAGCACATAAGATCAACAGAACACAGTGTGCTTTGAGGTAGGAGCCAAAAAGGGTGTAGTTTGTGGGTGTGATCACCAGTGTGTACACCTGTGAGCATGGATGCGCTTGTTTTTTTGTTTTTTAAAAGGTTCCTTCATGTAATAATCTGCTAGAGGGTGTGGGGGGCCACAGCCCGTCCTCCAGGGCATGAAACAGGTATGGAGGAGATCAAAACTCCAGACATCCAGAGGCCCCCAGAACACAAGAGACCAAGGAAGACCAACAGAGGGGCAGCTGCGCCACTGTCCCAGAAAGAGCTGAGGAGGGTCCCAGATGAGGGGTCACTCAGCAGCCGCGGAGCAGAAGCCAGGGGGAGTTGCAGTGACGCGCCCGTGAGCTCCGCCGGCAGCCAGCCGTGCCTGAGTGACCGAGCCCCAGGCCGAGAGGCCGGGGCACCCACCTCCGAGTGGCCCGAGCGAGCCCCAGGCTCCAGGCCCCGATAAGCGGCCGCCAAGGAGTGAGCCGGTGTGTACCTGGACGCCCATCCCCAGACACAAAGAACCACCAACGCACCGATGTCTGAGGGAGTCCGCCACTGGCAGGGGAAGTGGTGGTAGGGGGAGATAGGCCTCCAAACCTTGGAGGGCCTGAGATGTCCCCAGAGAGGTGGCGCCTGATACCCAACCTGACATATAGACACAGACATACAGGCACACACAGACACAAACATCCATTCCCACCCTCATGCTCTCATATGCACTTACTCCACACTCAACCAACGTGGAGACAGACATAAAGAGACGCTGTACACACGATCACACTCCCCAAGCTTACTCTACAAACCGGGTCTAGGTACCCTTGCCCCTGGAGGGGGGAACTGCACCCAGACCCAGATTGTCTGATTTAAGTCTCAAAGTCAGTTGGCTCTATTTTATAAATGCATTTGTTTATAAGATTATAATTTATTAATAATTAATTTCTGTTTTGTGTCACAGTAACTGTGTCAGGAGCTGACAGCTCTTCATCTCCTGTGTGGTTGATGGTTGGACTGGTTTGTGGAGTCTCTCTCATTATTATTCTCCTGCTCTTGTTGTGTCGCTGCAGACAGTCCAAGTGTAAGAGCCTCTTTTCTATTTTTATTAATATTCATATTACATTAGGAATCTTTCAGGGTTAGTAAACTAAATGAAATTAGAAATTAAACTCAGTACAAATCCAAATTTTTAAAAAAGTTGGAAACCACATTTCTACAATTCTTAGGAAAACAAACTATGAGGAAGGATGTGACAAAGCAAAGGAAAACTGAGGCAGTTTATAAAACACATGATAATGAGATGATGAGTAACAGGTGTTAACTAACTAACTAAAGCCTCTTTTCCATTAATAATTACTCAGATCGACTGGTTTTCCATCACGCTCAAGTACCACCTAATGTGTGTGGTCATCGTCATAGTGACGTGGTCGAGCACCCCATGACTTAATTAGTATTTGTCACAAATGATTCAACAAAGGTGAACATCACGGCGATGATATACCTGTTGCTCGGTCATCTTTCTATAGACTCGGGGGCCACGGTGTTGCTTGTGTAGCCATTTCTGGGTTGCCGGGTTTCAAAAATGGCTTTTTTATTTTATCAATAAGAAGCTCTCATAACTCATCAAGTGGTGCCACTGACCAGTCAATCGGCATGTACGCTATTGACGTAACATTTTGGGATCACCTCGGATCACTTGGAACTCCGGCTGAGTAAATACTAAAATGGTACTACTGGATCTGATGGAAAACCCTGAAAACTGTGTTTTAGTTACTAATGGAAAACATGTTAACAGAATGACACAAGATACAGGGGAAAATAAAACAGGAAATGACTGACACTGAGACCTCGAGTAAGTGGTCAGCACTTAAACCGATCTTTATTATCATTATTAATATTGACTCTTCATTCATCTCCATTAACAGGAACCTTTCTTAGGTTCAGTTTCATCTAAATAACCAACTGACTACATGCACAAAAGATCAGAAACAAACAGGATTTTACAACTTGATTGTATCTTTAACTCGACTGAAGAATCCACAAATGTTGTTGTTTCATATCAGAACAACAGAAACAGTAACACCATGATGGGTTCATGCTCTGAAAATATCTGATAGTCCTGTTGTTGACTTAAACACAACTAATGAAACTCTGTAAAAGGTTTTTCTGTTTTTTCATTTATCTTTGAAAAATGTGTCATGTTGGTTTTCATGTGTGAGCCACTGAAACACTGGTGCAGGACATCATGTGAAAAGCACAGAGCAGCTAGAGATGAAACAGTCTTCTCATTTAAGGTAACTGGCACCATGTCATTGGTTTACAATTGTGTAACTAAAATATGAACATTTTAGGTGCAGATAAACCCCCAGATGTCATTTACTCTAATATTGAACTGGAAAACTTTGGAAATAAGTGTGAGTACACAAAATATATAGAATGTAGAAGAAAAGCCTGGAAAGTTTTTGAAATGTTTAAAAATGTATTAATTAAATTTCTTTGTGAATTCGATCATCTTCACAGGGAAGCATCACAAACCAGAGCAGAGTGCTGTTTATGCTAATGTAAAGACAGGAGCTGCAGGTACAGTCACAACAGTCTCATTCAGTGTTTGTACTTGAACGTGTCATCACATCATTATATTGCAGGTAATTATAGGTCAACATGGAGTTTATTCACTTACTAATCAGTGTTTCAGCTTTACTGAATCACAGCATCCACAGATTCTGACCCAGACCTCAATCACAAAACACACACATGCAAAGCTGAAGTGTCACAGGCAACAAATGATTTCACTCTCTTTCACTGTAGTTGTAAAAAGTTTAAAGTTCATATGTATCCAACATGTTTGTATCGTATCTGTGCTGAACAAATGTGTCCTGAGCTCTGACGTCTCTTTTAGAGGACAGTCTGATGTATGCTGAGGTCAAACAGCCCAAAAAAGAAAAAGCCAAGAAAAACAAAGGTGAGCAAAGTCTGCCATCATCTCCACTGAATATTGTTCATCATGTTTATCTGCTCTTACAATGTAAAGCTGTTTATATTAATATTTGTATTTAGGGCTTCATGCGTACTAATTACTTGGTTAATAAAATCTAGTTCTATCTTTGCATTATTGCACACATCCAGTTTCCTCCTGGTTAATGATATTATTGTTTTCAATGATCTTCTCTTCATTCACAGGAACATCAAGTCCTGCAGCTGATGCAGCAGTTTATTCTGAAGTCACATCAGGAAGCTCTCTCAGTAATTCTGCTGCCATGCAGGCTGATTTATTCTTCATATTATTAAATGTCTTCAGCTCATAATATCTTTACATGTTGGAAATCACTTTGTCTTTTTGTGCTTGTCTTACAGGTCAGTGAGGAGAGCTGTAGCAGCAAAGCCAAGAAGAAGCTTTTTATGAAGCCACTCTTGCTCCTCTGCTGCCCAAATATCAAACATGCTCAGCTTTATGTACAGTTACAATATTACATCATAATATCAGACATATTGCTCTCTTATAGCATAAAACAAATGTAGGTGTATTCGTGCTCTTTATATTCAGTTATTTGTATAAAGATTTTGTAATAAACCTTGAATGTATCTAACATGTTCCAACAGCAGTGAGAACAAAGTGTGAAATATGTGATCTTTAGTATCTGACAGCACAACTTAAAGTCAGTGTTTGCAGTGTTTCACAAGTAAATACTGATATGGGCACCAACAAATACTTTAACTGTGTTTGTCTAAAGATCTCGTACATTATATAAATAAGAATTATTTCTTATTAAACGTGCATATATGTATATTATTGTTTCTGATCATTCTGTGCTTTTGTAGTTTGAAGGAGAAATAAAATCTTTTCACATTTGAACATTTTATCTTTGATTTTTGTTTCCCGTATGAGATTATTCACAAAGTAACAAAACAACCACTTAAACAGTTTGTAATGGTGTTGTCATGGAAACCTGAAATAAACAGATGTGAGTATTATCTGCAAAGCGGTCACTAAGAGTTCAGAGCATGACAGCAGTCTGCATGTATCTGACACAGAGGACTGAAGTAGAACATTTACAGAGAGAAGCTCTCTGTGTGCTGCTGTCACAGGATGCAGTTAAAGGAAAAGATAACTTGTACATGTGATGAATCTCATATGAAAGATGGAGACAGAACATCACAGAGAACTAAAGCTCTGCATCAACCATGGTCAGCATGACTGAAAGAAGTAGAAGGATTAAACCTTTCCATTACGCTCCCTTTTGATCATTAACTGATCGCACAAGAATTTAAAAATATGACACAAACACAAACATTTAGTCACAGTAAGGTGGAGGTACAGGTCAGGCTCCTGCTCAGTCAGGTAAACTAAACCAGCTGGGTTGAGCTAGCTCAGTGTTTTCCCCTGAAGTCAGCATGATGGTGATAAACACTGCTGGTCATATGCTCTAACACCTCAGTATGTGCTGTAGATGGTTTTCTCTCTTCACTAGCAATCATGACCTTGTCCTATAAAGTAGGTGAACAACTATAACTACACTGGTGACTGTTTTTATTTCTTCTATTTTCTTTTTGTCTGAAAGAGAAAACAAAGAGGTCATCAGTGCAACTCTGAGTATCTGTATTTCTATCCTGTAACTGTCAAGATGCAAGTTATTATACATGTGTATGTAAATGCATCAATAACAGTTACCAGGGTGCCGCCTGGTGGCATTACCTGAATATGCTCTGCATTATCTATTCTATTCTCCACATCAGAAAGCCTAGTTATTCTATTTTCAATTCATTGCTACCTCCCCATGCAGGAGACTCTGACAGCACTGAGCAGCTCCTTCAGTGGCAGGCTGCAGCACCCACGGTGTGGGATGGAGAGATTTCGCAGGTCTTTCCTCCCCACTGCTGTCAGACTCCACAACAAAGACTTTTGCAGCTGATCAAACACACACATGTGCAATAAGACTAAGTGCATTACTGTTTTCTGACAAAGTTATATTTTTACTCAGTTGTATATAGCATTTGTATTCTATTTTTATCCTATTATACATTTTATATTATTTTATTCTATTCAATTCTGTACAGTTGTGTACAGTATATTATTCTTATTGTTTTCCAGTGTTCTCTAATTGCTAATTAACTTTGCACTGTCCACTCTCTGCTGTGACAAAACAAATTTCCCACATGTGGGACTAATAAAGGTTATCTTATCTTATCTTATCTTATCTTATCTTATCTTATCTTGCTAACAGAACATTTGAAGTAATCTATTCTCCACATCAGAGCGACATCAGAGCATATTTCTCCTGTTTTGGCTTCCCTTCATTGGCTTCCTGTTAAATCCAGAATTGAATTCAAAATCCTGCTCCTCACATACAAGGTCTTAAATAATCAGGCCCCATCTTATCTTAATGACGTTGTAGTACCATATCACCCTATTAGAGCACTTCGCTCTCGCTCTGCAGGCCTACTTGTTGTTCCTAGAGTATTTAAAAGTAGAATGGGAGGGAGAGCCTTCAGTTTTCAGGCCCCTCTTCTGTGGAACCAGCTTCCAGTTTGGATTCAGGAGACAGACACTATCTCTACTTTCAAGATTAGGCTTAAAACTTTCCTTTTTGCTAAAGCATATAGTTTGGGCTGGACCAGGTGACCCTGAATCCTCCCTTAGTTATGCTGCAATAGACGTAGGCTGCCGGGGATCCCCATGATGCATTGAGTTTTTCCTTTCCAGTCACCTTTCTCACTCACTATGTGTTAATAGACTTCTCTGCATTGAATCATATCTGTTATTAACCTCTGTCTCTCTTCCACAGCATGTCTTTTATCCTGTCTTGCTTCTCTCACCCCAACCGGTCGCAGCAGATGGCCCCGCCCCTCCCTGAGCCTGGTTCTGCCGGAGGTTTCTTCCTGTTAAAAGGGAGTTTTTCCTTCCCACTGTTGCCAAAGTGCTTGCTCGTAGGGGGTCATATGATTGTTGGGTTTTTCTCTGTATCTATGAAGCGCCTTGAGGCGACTTATGTTGTGATTTGGCGCTATATAAATAAAATTGAATTGAATTGAATCAGTGTTCAAGGTAGGTCCTGTGACAGGCTTTAAGTGTCAGTGTGGATATACAGATATAGCTCCTTATCCCAGCTTGTCACAGCTTCCAAGTACAATCACTGGATTGTAATTACAACCAGTGGCCAATAGAGGGAGACATTAATCCATTTATAATTTATTGTTCCCACAGTTAATTTGGAGGAAATTTATAAATGAAACACATGGGAGTGGACTCACACACCATTAATATTCAGTGTCATGTTTGCTGTTCTGAGATCAGCTGACAACATGCAAACATGGAAAACCTGAAGCAACAGAACAGGATCAATGAGCAGCTGTGACATCGACTGAGTCAGAAACAACATGAACAACATGGATTCATGCTAATTATCCTCGTTCTGTTGTTGTGTGGCTAAAGGGTGAAACGTTTCTTGATAATTGGCTGAAAGTGATTCATAATTTCTAATATTGTGACACATGTTAAATAAACTGTGTACAAAGCACCATCACAAGTTTAATCATTTGTACTGATCCGTGTTTTGACAGGTTATTGCAACACACATCTCATCAGACAGCAGCCCCACATCTTCAGCACCTTTAAGTCTTTGTCAGTTTTTCAGTTGTATGTGTTCTGTTTTTTGTTTCAGGTCCATAACAAGTCATGGCCAACATGCAGCTTTAACACAATCTTACCTTTTGTGTATTTTAGTAATTTTATTTTCTTTCATCTCCTTTATTTAAACGTTGTTTTCAAGCTCTGAATCAGCAGACATGGCTTTAAGGTTCAGATTATAGTGCCCCCTGTTGGTGTGACATTGTCTTACATCGTGTTGAGACTTTTTCTGGTGGACATTTTTTTTATGATGGAAATCCAGAAATGATACCCAACCCTTTTGCTCTTTTCTATCCTCCTGATAACCACCTGACCTTCCTGATCCCCGCCCCTCTGCTTCCTCCTCATACTCTGCTGGTTAACTTGGTTGTTTGGACACCATACATTGCACTCGTACAGAGTGGAGAAAACTGTTGACTATTTGGATAAATGCAAATCTTTTTTTAAATTAATATAGTGACCCGTTTTATTTAAGAAGTAATAAGCAGTAAAACTAAAAGATCAAACTGTAAATAAGACAATACAGAATAACGTCTTTCTTCCTCTGAACAGACTTTGATGCCTACATGTGTAAGAGATAGTTGTTGGTTGTGTCTTTTCTCCAACAGGTTTATTTTTATCCTCTGCAAGTCAGATACCTCATAAGAGGAAATGAAGCCTGCGGTTTATTTTCTTTAAAGTCAACACAGCCGAGTGGAAATGTGCAGATATGACAATGTGTGAAAACAGTTTAAAAGTAGCTTTATTGTGGTGATGACACATGCTGGACTAAAGAATAAATAAAGCATGTGGGCATCAAGAGAAACGGTGAAAAGCTTGTTTCTCACGCTCACGTCTTTAAGAGTCTCTGCATGGACGTGCTGTAAATGTTCATTTATCTCTGACATACATAAAATCATCCATCACTCTCTCTGTCCACAACATCATATACAGACATGTTTTTCTTCTTACTGCAACTTCCAAACATGTCAGTTCCTCACAGTATAACACAAAAATGTGTAAGCTGCAAATAAGCTAAAAAATGAAAATATATGTTAATGTATTTTACCTTTCAAACACAAAAGTGATGGGAAGATGAAACAAACCTGCTGTTAAACAATCTAAAAAAACCCGGATGTCAACATGTTTGTATGTGTAGATGATACTGCACCAAACCTTAATTATAACCTTTGTAAGAAAGTGTTTGACAGGATTAAGGATGGAGGCTGTGTCGGAGTTCAGACACCTCTGAACTCGGATGTTGGAAATTGGGAGTGACGTCACTCTCGAGTTAGCATGTTGCAGAAAAAGCTAGGAAACAGTATTTGTTTTGGTTCTTGGTAAATTAGAGCCACGCAGGTATGAATAGCAGTGCAGCATAATACTTGTTTTTTTGACTAATTGGTGCTCAAACCTAATCACGGCTTTTTTAGTGAGTCAAAAATACACCACAGTGGCAGTACAGACTTTGTTGTGGCCAGATGACTGGAGAGTGGCGCGAGCCCAAAAGCAGACGGTTGAGACAGGAATGAACTTAACAAAAAACAAGCCGTTTACTTTAGGCTGGATCAACAATATAAACAAAAGCAAACAGAAACTAGGACGATGTTAACAGCAAACTAAACTGGACAGAATTAACACTAGACACAGTGAACATGAAACCTGAATGTGGCTAACATGGACATGAATACCTGAGACTTGACTGAACAGAAACATGGCACATGGTGAAAAGATGACCTGCCAACGAACAAATGAAAACTCACACCAAAAATACACAAGAGGCTGACGAGGGAAGTGGAACACACGGGAAACACAACTGCAATAAACATAATGATGCATGAGCAAGACAAACCACACACAGGACGTGATACTGTCAAAATAAACAGAAAAAATGGAAAAAGACACCTGAACCAGGGAAGAAACAGACATGGGGACATAGAAGCAGAAATGGGAGGTGAAAACAGCAACATGACTGGACACAACACACGTGGACATACAAGACTGACAGAGGCGACATGGAAGTACGAGGGGAACGTGGCAAGGGAACAAGGAGACGAGACACGGACATGACTAAGGAACAAACACAGAGTTCATGACTCAGACAGG